TGAGGAGTATACAGAAGCAACTGAAGATCAAGATCAGAGACAGCAAGGAGGCATACAGGAAGAAGCTGGAGAACAAACTACAGAGGAACAATATCAGAGATGTCTGGTCAGGGATGAAGAAGATCACAGGCTTCAAGCAGAGGAAGGATTGCACAGATGGAAGCCTGGACACAGCCAATGAACTGAACAAGTTCTTCAATAGGTTCAGTTCAGGAACAAGCCCAGCATCCTCCTCGCCTGTCCCCAGCCAATCAGACATCCCATCCTCCTCTGATCCAACATTTCCCTGTCACACGCCAGCTCTTTTGTCCTCTGACGCAGTCATGGACTCTTCCGGTTCTATAAATCTGTCTTCAACCAAGTTAGGAGATGCTTACCTCCCCCTCCCACCTATCTGTCTCTAGAAGTCGGGTGAAGAGGCAGCTGGAGAGACTGAACAGGAACAAGGCTGCAGGTCCAGATGGTGTCAGCCCCAGGGTACTGAAGGCCTGTGCAGAGCAGCTCTGTGGGATTCTGCAGCACCTCTTCAACCTCAGCCGGGCCCAGGAGAAGGTTCCAGTTAGGGATGGGTACCTTTGACATTTGAATCGATCCGGTACTAATTACCGGTACCTACGAATCGATACCGGTACTTAACGGTACCAATTTTCAATACTTTTGAGTGTTTATTATTTTAATTCTCTTTTATAATTAAATATATATTTTTCTCAATATATAACCATATTTGATAAATATCATGATAAATAACATACAACTGTTTGTATTTTAACATTGCCCTTGTAGTTTTATAAGCTGATAATTAAACTGAAGCAAACATCTTTACTGTGAACTAAATTTACTGTGTATCTTCATTCCTTTTGCCATCTTTTTTCAATTGATTTTTCCTACTGGGAAGTTAGAATTTCCGAGGAGAAAGCGAACGCACCATTAGCTGATAACAATGGTGGCAATGGAAGCTAACATATCAAGCTAATGATATCTTAAACAGTTTATTTAGCTGCTGGAGCAGATTAAAACGATGCCTCACACTTAGATCGTCACTGGTTTCGTCTTCACCCGTCACATTTATTAAAGTGAAGCCAAACTTTAGAGCGCGTTCATGTTGTTCTAGTCGGAAATTCGGAGTTCCGAGGAGAAAGCTAACGCACCATTAGCGAAACGGAAGCTAACATGTCAAGCTAATTATATTTGCCTACCGGAGCAGATTAAGATGAGGATGTCTCACTTAGATAGTTGTCCCTGGTTTCATCATCCAGTTACCCATCACATTTAGTGAAGTGGACCCAAGCTTTAGCGTGCGTTCTCTCTACCATGCTGCTCTGTTTACAACTGGTTCACAGCAAGCAACGACAAAACGCTATTGCGCATGCGCAGTTGTCTTGGCAAGTTCTCGTTACGATGGACGGGTACCGAAACAAGGCACCGTTTGAAATGACATGAATCGGTGCTCGGTCGGTACTATGGAATTCGGTCGGTACCTTAAAAAGTACCGAATTCGGTACCCATCCCTAGTTCCAGTCCTGTGGAAGACATCCTGCCTTGTTCCAGTTCCAAAGAAAACTCGCCCATCAGTCAATGACGACTACAGACCGGTTGCCCTGACGTCCCACATCATGAAGGTCCTGGAGAGACTCCTGTTGGTCCACCTGAATAAGCAAACTAGAACATATCAGGACCCGCTGCAGTTTGCTTATTGCCATGGATTTGCAGTTGAAGATGCCATCATCCAGCTGCTTCAACCAATCCACTGTCATCTGGACAAAGCAGGCAGCACTGTCAGGGTCATGTTCTTTGATTTTTCCAGTGCATTTTACACAATCCAACCTGATGTAGTTTGCCAGAAACTCCAGAAGACACAGGTGGGGGCCTCAACTATCACCTGGATTAAAGACTACCTGACAAACAGACCACAGTTTGTGAGGCTGAAGAACTGCACATAAAACCAGGTGATCAGTAACATTGGAGCACCACAGGGGACTGTACTCTCACCATTCCTTTTCACCCTGTACACCTCAGACTTCCAGTACAAGTCAGAGACCTGTCATCTACAGAAATACTCAGATGACTCTGCAGTAGTCGGGTGTATCAGAGATGGACAGGAAGCTGAGTACAGAGAGCTGGTGGAGCGCTTTGTGGCATGATGTGGAAACAATCATCTGACCTTGAACGTGAACAAAACAATGGAGATGATTTTAGACTTCAGAAGAAACAGGGTGGAGTCAAACACTGTTTCCATCATGGGAGAAGAAGTGGAGGTGGTTGAGGAATACAAACACCTTGGAGTTCACCTGGACAACAGACTGGACTGGAGAAAGAACAGTGAAGCCATTTACAAGAAGGGGCACAGCAGACTGCACTTCTTGAGGATGCTTAAGTCCTTCAATGTCTGTAGCAAGATGCTGCAGATCTTCTACAAGTCTGTTGTTGAGAGTGTAATCTCTTCAGCCATCGACTGTTGGGGTAGCAGCATCAGAAGCAGGGACCTGAAAAGGCTCAACAGCCTAATAACAAAGGCCGGTTCTGTTCTGGGGACGACTGTGGAACCACTGGAGGAGATGATGCAAAGGAGGATTCTCCAGAGAATCAAGAACATGATGGACAACCCTGAGCATTCTCTTCACAAGACTGTCCGACAACGGAAGAGTGTCTTCAGTCAGAGGCTTCTTCAGTTTGGCTGCAACACTGACCGCTACTGGAGATCCTTCCTGCCAACAGCCATTGTAATATACAACAACTCTTTGATGACTTGATTATTATTATTATTCTGAGCTACTACAGCAATCAATTTCCCTCTGGGATTAATAAAGTATTTTTGAATTGAATTGAATTGAACTGAACTGCACGGCGCTAAAAAAAATCACATTTATATCATGATTTCAATGGATTTCACACATGGGGCCTTTAAAAGTGCAGTTCTCTGAAATATCATTTAAAATCATAATTTCTGATTATAATGGGTATGTTTTTCATGCACACACAACACTTTATTCTGTATTTAGCCTTCTCAGTGGCCTAGTGATAGGCAGGTTGCCCTGGGACTGTTATGTAGGGGGTCAAATCCTGGTCGGGTCATACCAAAAACTTTACAAATGGGACCCAATGCCTTCCTGCTTGACACTATTTATTTTTTTTATTTTTATTTTTTCCACCCATGTCCTGTCTGGCTGTGAAGCAAACAGAATTGATGTCTGAATGCTGGTGACAAGCCTTACAGATTTACTCTCAGGTGGAGCATCAAAGCTGCTGCCTTAATGTCAGGCCTGATACTTAAAACTTTATTGTTATTGATTTTGAATGCTTTTTAAATCCGACCAGACACAGAGATAGAGGTGAAAGAGAAAGGAAGAGACAAAAGGTGGCGTGGGTGGGGGTGGGGGGTTGTTTCCACAAAAATAAACAGTCGATGATGAACGAGTGTCTGCTTCTAGACCTGCAGAAAAAGGAAACACAACAATACAACAGGAGCAAGCTATCACTGCGTCATCTTGATGAAGAGATATAAAACCAACATTGTTTAACTGAACAATCACACGATAATAAGTCACAGTGCATTTAGTGCCAACCACAGCCTTAAGACATGTGTTGAACGTGACCAAGTCCATATCCATACTTATGAGAGCACCATGTGAGCACCTGTGTGCGTTCACGCGCTTGTTTATGTAAGGTTTCTCTATTGGAGCGTCCAATAGAGAGTGTGAGGGGCCACAGAGGAGCTCCAAGTCCCAGAAATCCAGGAGCTGCCCCAGAGCACAGGGACCCCAGGGAGAATGCAACCAGAAAAGCCCCTGCCCCCCTCGAGAGGCGCAGAGGATCGCCCCTGGGGGTCACAACCAGCAGCCGGCAGAGTCGCGGGAAATATCAGCGGCAAGCCCACAGGCCCGTTCACAGCCTCCCACCCCCTAGCAGGCCAAGCCCAGAACCCAGTGACCCGGGATCCAGGGGCGACCACCCCCGCCAGGGACTTAGCAGAGCCCAGGGACCCAGATCCCTCCAGGCAGCCACCGGGATTGATCAGGCAGACGCCAAAAATCTTAAACGCCCTGACCGGGGAGCCACAAACTCTCAGGCAGACTAAGGCACCGCACTCCACACCAGGTGTGGCATGGGGAGGGGAGACGAAGATCTATATCATCAAAAGAAGTCCCAGGAGAAGGGAGGAGTCAAAGGCCCCACCTGACATATACAGTCATACACAAACACAGTCACACACTCCCTCCCTCGTGCTCACACATGCACATACAACCAAAGGCTTACAAAAATGCACGCCAGACACCCACTCATGCTCCCCATACACACCCTATTCACTCTGGTCCCGGTACTGCTGCACATTGGGTACAACCATCACCGGTAACCAGAGTTCAACCCTTTCTGCTGGGGTGCTGATGAGCAGGCTCCCCCGCCCAACGCTGAGCAAAGAAACCCACCACCCCAGACCCCAACCAGACGGCCAGATCTCCCTCCTAGCCTCCAGCCCCAGGAAGCCAAGCAACAACAGAGGTGGCTAAGACCCCTAGTCTCCCTCCACCTGCTCCAATATAGTGTTGTGTGATCATGAGGTGTATTCCATGGCTGTGGTGAGCGGGCAGTGCGGGCATCGTCTGGCCTATGCCAGCTGATGCCACCACCCCACCCCACTTGCACCCACAGCCCTCAGTGTTTAAGTGCAGTTTAAAATTGGAAGTGGGCACCGGCACTAGGGATGAGGCTGAAAAATCCCCCTGCCAAGTGCCGTTGAATGTGCTCACTCCCAAGGCCCTAAGTGTGTGTTTGCGTGGAATGTCGTTGGTGGAAGTGTTCAAGGTCAAACACGGCTTTAAGGGGTGGGATTGGGAGTTAAACCACCAAATAGTTCTCAAGCGCAGCCGTGTCTGCAGCTCACCGCTCTCCACAGGGATGGGTCAAATGCAGAGATGAATTTCACCAGTGTGTGATGACAGATGGGACTTTCACTTTAAATGTTTTTCTTCCTTTTTGACCTTTTTCCCTTCACTATAAACCAGAACCAGAAAACATTGAAGGGAATGCAGAGTCTGTTCGAGTGGTTGGACTGATGCCCTGGATGGATTACGAGTTTCAAGTCATTGGTAGCAACATTCTGGGCAGAGGAGAACCCAGCATACCGTCCCCTATGGTCCGCACACAGCAATCAGGTAAGGCCACACACATGGTCCACCTCTCACAACGGCCAGTTTAGAAAACACCTACCTGGGGTTGTCCAGTAATCAGAAGGTTGCAGGTTCGATCCCAGCTCTGGACAGAGAATTCTGCTGTTGTGTCCTTGGGCAAGACACTTAACCCACCTCGCCTGCTGGTGGTGGTCGGAGGGACTGGTGGCACCTCTGTCAGTGTGCCCCAGGGCAGCTGTGGCTACATTGTAGCTCATCACCATCAGTGTGTGAATGAGTGTGAATGGATGAATGATACACTGTAGTGTAAAGCGCTTTGGAGTCCTTACTCTGAGAGGCGCTACACAAGTGCGGGTCATTTATCATGTACCCCACTAGATAGGGGCTTTATAACATGACCAGTCATCAAGCTTATGCTCCATTTCCACCTAGGAGGCCGTTGAAGTCTCTCGTGTGGGAATATATCTAAAACATTCCCACACAGGAGACTTCAACTGTTTCCTAGCTGGAAATGGAGCAGTCCCGATGGTTTTTCTTTTGCTGCGTGCACGTGTACAGTTTCACTTTTGGCTTTGTGCGGGTCACGCTGTCATCTTTTTGTTATTTATTGGTGGTGTTGAAGATGTCTTTACAGGGGTTAACTGAGGTTAGTAGTCAAAAAGGTTAATCCCAGCAACCCTAGTGACAAGACGTGTACGTTATCACATGTCATATGTTTCTGATGATAACAAAAAGTGCTGCGTTCATTATTTTCACGTTGGATCGCACATAATTATGTCAACAAGCGGAGAACTTTCCCTAAGAGGATAACTTTTTTTCACAGAACCACACCCTCACTGCAACAGTGCTATCTGGGCACTTTAGCTACGCCGACATCTTTTATGCAGCTGTTTGGACACATCCACACACAACCAGTGGAAACTTTAAAATATAGGGAAGATTGTGTTTTTACACTTTTTATGTCGCTTGTTCCAACTGTGACTTTAATCATGTGGTGGTTTAGATACCATAGCAAGCTAACTTTTACGTTTTGTTGTTCTGTAAACATAGCTGCAAACTTGTTACTTTTTGGCGAAAATCGCCATTTTTGAAGCCAAATGTGGCGTTCACGTGCATCGTGTAGATCCGAAGGGCTTTTGTTTGAGGGGGGGACTCTTGTGTTGGGTTTCAGCAATGAGTTTCAGTCACTCTTATGGAAATCAATCAGAGAAAGGAGAGGGTACTCCTCTTCTTCACAAACAGTCTTTGTTCTAGTGTGTTAGTCACATGTCATCATTTAACCAATCACAGTCAGAGACGGCACGCTGCAGACGATGAGGCAGAGCGGCGCTCACTGTGAGTATGAGTGCTGTCGCTTTAACTTCCTGCAGCAGTTTGGAGCCTAAAGTCTGTCAAATAGAACAAAATCAGCACTAAATAACAGTTTTCTGTCAAGGACTTTAGCAGATTTACCTTTACAGGTTTCTCCCGAGGCGGCTCATGTTTTTTTTGTTTGTTTTGGAGTTGAGTTGGGAGTAAACACCACCAGTAATATTAATAACATAAATACTATTACTGGTGAGAAATGGCCACCAGTATGCTACAGCCTTACTGGTTTAAAACAAGCCCCAGTAAACAGATCTGGGCACCAGAAGATTTAAGGACGTTGGAGGAGAAACACGTGATGAGATCATTTCATAATATTTGTACTGCATTTAAGAGTCAGATCAGCAGCTGAGCAGTGGTTGATTTAAGTATTCAGCAAACAGCTGAGATAAATTTACCTGCAGCTCTTTCTACCCATTTAATTCACAGCAAACTCATCAGAGCAGCTGCACTTGTGACCCACAACAATAACCTCTTATGGTGATTACAGGAATATTTTCAGATGTTTCCATTTTGTTGTTCTGCGTGTGAACTAGTCTCATAATAATTTGATGTTGGGGGGGTTAAAAGACTTTAAATACTGTAGCAACACGTTGTTGTTTCTCCAGAACCCCAGTAGACAGATTCCAGGAATGTGAGAACTTCCCACTGACAAGTGGGATAGGGATTCTTTTACACTTGTGTTGATACTGTCACCGATGCTGTTCTCTAGTTTATTCTATTACAGACAGGAAATTCCCCTCACCTTTTGGTGACATTTGCAGCTTTGGATCTAAAATAGGCCACCTACGTTATTCATGTAGGGCTGATGAGAATCTTTTTTCTTTAAGGGGGCGGTAACCATGAGAGGGTTTCACAGATTAACCAGAGTGACCATTAAACTCTAGGATTAAAAAAGCCTGTGTTTATGTTTATGTGTTTATGTTTATATGTTTATGTTTATGTGTTTATGTTTATGTGTTTATGTTTATGTGTTTATGTTTATGTGTTTGTGTTTATGTGTTTATGTTTATGTTTATATGTTTATGTGTTTATGTTTATGTGTTTATGTTTATGTGTTTGTGTTTATGTTTATGTGTTTATGTTTATGTGTTTATGTTTATGTGTTTATGTTTATGTGTTTATGTTTATGTTTATATGTTTATGTGTTTATGTTTATGTGTTTATGTTTATGTGTTTATGTTTATGTGTTTGTGTTTATGTTTATGTGTTTATGTTTATGTGTTTATGTTTATGTGTTTATGTTTATGTGTTTATGTTTATGTGTTTATGTTTATGTGTTTATGTTTATGTGTTTATGTTTATGTGTTTATGTTTATGTGTTTATGTTTATGTGTTTATGTTTATGTTTGTGTTTAGCAGACACTTTTGTCCAAAGCCACTTACAGCTGATAATGAAGCCAGCAGGTTGCCCTTGATCAATGTCCCTCTGGGATTAATAAAGTATTTTTGAATTTGAATTGAATTGGATTGGATTGAATTGGATTGAGGCTAACAACAAACACTAATCAGTCAGTCCTAGGTGGCAGTGAGGCAGCATGATGAATCATAAAGGGAAGTGAACAAGGAGGGGACAGTAGAGTGGGGGGCGGGTGCTGGGAGGGTGCTAGTTTAGAGGTATTAGAGGCCTAATACTGGGCATGAGATTGTAGGGTGCAGAACAACCATGTTCTGCTGTTATGAACCAGACAAGGTGAAACCATAATCTCAGAAGTGAGGGGTGCAGTTTGATCTATGATTATTATTATCATCCTCTCATATTTAATATCCTCTTTCTTTAGTTGTTAAAAAACATTTAATCATTTGTTTAGTTATTAAAAATATTCATTTAAAGACAGTTATTATTTATCATTATTACTATCATTAAAATGAATTGTTACAATGCATCACCTGCTCAGCAGCAACACAAGCAAGTTAGTCTTGGAGGTCCATCAGTGCAGCTGCCTGGTCTCTGCTCTGACAACAAAAACAAGACTAAATATATTTTTAAGTGTGAATGAGAATAATTCTGAAAGATCAGTGAAGTCCTGCTGTAAAGAAATCACATTTTATGTCTGAATGTCGAAAACAAGCCCTACAGTCTTACTCTCACCGGTGGAGAGTAATAGATTCAACTGTAATGTTGATTTTAAAACGTTATTAGAAATGCTTTCTGCTGTTTTTAATCCCAACGGACACGGAGAAGGAAATGAAAGAGAGACGAGGGAGAAGAAAGGAAGAGGTGAGGGGGGTTTCACAAAAATAAACATTGAAGGATGCACGGGGGGGGGGGGGGGGGGGGGGCAAAAATACAACAGAACCGAACCAAGATATTGCTGCACCAAACAGCATAACAGTAACAATTTTTGCTGAAAGACACACAGTAATACTTAATTCATGATGCATTTAGAGCCAACCACAGCCCTAGGTTATGTTTCAAAAACCATTGTCCATACTTGTGAGAGCACCATGTGAGCACTTGTGTGCACACACATGCTTGTGTATGTAAGGTGAGACACACAATAAAAGACAGAACGTTCTGTCTTTTATTGTATTTATTTGTGAAGGCATAAAAAGTGTGTCACTCTATGAAGGGCACAGAATGAACCCAGAACCAGGTAATACATACACCTTTATAGTCCTAAAGTGTTCCCTGGCACACCAAAGCCCTTTTCAGACAGACATTCTGGAACATTTGCGGACAATTCAATCCGGTTTTTAACCGGAACTGTGTTTTCAGACACACCACTTTTGTACCGGAACTTGTCCTTTCGGCTGCGTTCACACAGCAGGGAAAAGTTCCAGATGTCTGACGGCGGCGGGGGGTGGGGTGGGGGGTGGGGGAGAATCGGATTTATGTTAAGAAGAAGAAGAAGAAGAAGAAGAAAATATCATTTCTATAGCGCCTCTCAAGATAAAAATCACGAGGCGCTTAAGCATAATTCTGTGCACACGAAGACGCATAAGAGACCTGGTGGATGAAGCTCAATGGTTAAAGGAATCACTGAAGCGGTGTGAAGCGCTCCGTCGCGCGTCTAGACGGTACCATTGGAGGCGAGCTGCCGTGGTTCACCGCTTGCTACAGGAGCGAGTTATCTAGGTGCGCACAGCGTCCCCCGGTCCCCTCCTCCTCCCCCTCCCCCTTGTCCGGAACTTTACCTCACCAGTCTGAAGCTGCCACCCTGTCCGTAACAAGTCCGGACCTGTTACTAGGGGCTTCGTCCGGATAAATTCCGGAACATGTTATCCGGATGTTTGTATTCAGACAGAAAGGTCTTACGGACAGATTCCGGAACATTTCCGTTTTTCATGGCCTGTCTGAAGGGGGCTCTAGAGACATAGTCTGTCCAGAGCGTCCTGCATCGACCTTTAGGCTTTCTCCCAGTTGGAGGCGCCCGGAAAACCTCATCAGGGAAGCATCCAGGAGGCATCCTTACTAGATGCCTGAGCCACCTCAACTGGCTCCTCCCGATGTGAAGGAGTAGCGGGTCTACTCCGAGCCCCTTTCAGATGAACAACATTTTCTACCATATCTCTAAGGGACAGCCCACCCACCCTTTTGGCCGCTTGTGTTCACAATCTCATTCTTTTGGTCACTACCCAAAGCTCGTGGCCATAGGTGAAGTTAGGAACGTAGATCGACCGGCAAATCAAGAGCTTCGCTTTCTGGCTCAGCTCTCTCTTCACCACGGCAGACCGGTACAGCGTCCACATCACTGCAGACGCAGCACCAATCCACCTACAGGTGCTGGCCAGTAAATTAGAATATCATCAAAAGGTTGAAAATATTTCAGTAATTCCATTCAAAACGTGAAACTTGTACATTATATTCATGCAATGCACACAGACCAATGTATTTCCAATGTTCATTACATTTAAATTTGATATTCATAAGTGACAACTAATGAAAACTCCAAATTTGGTATCTCAAAAAATTAGAATATTCTGAAAAGGCTGAATATAGAAGACACCTGCTGCCACTCTAATCAGCTTATTTACTCAAAACACCTGCAAAGGCCTTTAAAAGGTCCCTCAGTCTTGTTTTGAAGGCACCACAATCATGGGGAAGACTTCTGACTTAACAGCTGTCCAAAAGACAATCATTGACACCTTGCACAAGGAGGGCAAGACACAAAAGGTGATTGCTAAAGAAGCTGGCTGTTCGCAGAGCTCTGTGTCCAAGCACATTAACAGACAGGCGAAGGGACGGAAAAAATGTGGTAGAAAAAAGTGTACAAGCTCTAGGGATAACCGCACCCTGCAGAGAATTGTGACGACAAACCCATTCAAAAATGTGGGGGAGATCCACAAAGAGTGGACTGCAGCTGGAGTCAGCGCTTCAAGAACCACCACGAGGAGACTCATGAAAGACATGGGATTCAGGTGTCGCATTCCGTGTGTCAAGCCACTCTTGAACAAGAAACAGCGCAAGAAGCGTCTCGCCTGGGCCAAGGACAAAAAGGACTGGACTGATGCTGAGTGGTCCAAAGTTATGTTTTCTGATGAAAGCAAGTTCTGCATTTCCTTTGGAAATCAAGGACCCAGAGTCTGGAGGAAGAGCGGAGAAGCACAGAATCCACGTTGCATGAGGTCCAGTGTAAAGTTTCCACCGTCAGTGATGGTGTGGGGTGCCATGTCATCTGCCGGTGTTGGCCCACTCTGTTTCCTGAGGTCCAGGGTCAATGCAGCCGTCTACCAGGAAGTTTTAGAGCACTTCATGCTTCCTGCTGCTGACCAACTTTATGGGGATGCAGACTTCACCTTTCAACAGGACTTGGCACCTGCACACAGTGCCAAAACCACCAGCACCTGGTTCAAGGACCATGGTATCCCTGTCCTTGATTGGCCAGCAAACTCGCCTGACCTTAACCCCATAGAAAATCTATGGGGTATTGTGAAGCGGAGGATGCAATACGCTAGACCCAACAATGCAGAGGAGCTGAAGACGACTATCAGAGCAACCTGGGCTCTCATAACACCTGAGCAGTGCCACAGACTGATCGAGTCCATGCCACGCCGCATTACTGCAGTTATTGAGGCAAAAGGAGCCCCGACTAAGTATTGAGTGCTATACATGCACATTCTTTTCATGTTCATTCTTTTCAGTTGGCCAACATTAGAGAAACAAACATTTTTTCATTGGCCTTTAGAATATTCTAATTTTCTGAGATACCAGATTTGATGTTTTCATTGGTTGTCACCTATAAATATCAAAATTAAACGTAATAAACATCGGAAATACATTGGTCTGTGTGCATTGCATGAATATAATGTACAAGTTTCACGTTTTGAATGGAATTACTGAAATATTTTCAACCTTTTGATGATATTCTAATTTACTGGCCAGCACCTGTATCAATCTCACTCTCCAGCTTTCCCTCACTTGTGAACAAGACCCCAGAGATACTTAAACTCCTCCACTTGGGGCAGGACCTCATTCCTGACCTGGAGAAGGCATTCTACCCTTTTCCGACTCAAGACCATGGTCTTGGATTTAGTAGAGCCAATTTTCATCCCAGCTGCTTCACACTCAGTTGCGAACCACTCCAGTGAGAGCCTCACACCTCAACAGCTAGGCCTAGAAATTCTGTCCATAAAAATTATGAACCGAATTGGTGACAAAGGGCAGCCTTGGCGGAGTCCAACTCTCACCAAAAACAAGCCCGACTTACTGCCGGCAATGGGTACAAAGCTCTGACACAGGTATAATAGCCCGCATCATAGGGCCTGGTACCCCATACTCCTGGAGTACCTCCTGAGGGACGCAGTCGAACATCTTCTCCAAATCCCCAAAACACATGTAGATTCGTTGGACGAACTCCCACGCACCCTCCAGGACCCCTCCAAGGGTATAGAGCTGGTCCAGTGTTCCACGGCCAGGACGAAAACCACATTGCTCCTCCTGAACCCAAGGTTTGACAATCTGTCGGACCCTCTTCGCCAGAATCCCTGAGTAGACCTTACCAGGGAGGCTCAGGAGCATTGGAACTACCCTGTAGTTGGAAAACATCCTGTGGTCCCCCTTTTTAAATAGGGAGACCACCATCCCCAGATGTCCATTAGCCAGATGTCCAGGACCATTTTTGGCAGTTATCACGATGACATAGACAAAAGATGTATTAGACAAATTAAAAAACTGAACAAGTGGACAAATATGACCAAAACTTTATCATAAAATATCTAAACTGCACCTCTAGTGAATAATATAAGGCTTTTTGGACACTTAGACACTTAAAATGAGAAACACACTGTATTAAGGGATAAAAAAATAAAGTGTGTTTTTCATATGTCTGCTTTAAGAATTTTCTTCAACTCCCATCAATTGCATTGGCCGCAGAAAGAAAAGATGGGGAAATGATGGTCGGAAAAAATCTCTCCTTTGTCATATGAAAAATATGCATTCGTGGTCTCATCCCACTTTGTCTGGGGACGGCCCATGAGAAGAAGAGAGTCGTGTTTGCGTCTTGGCTAGTAGAAGCTAACCAACTCCAGTTCCACAACAGGGCAGAACATGTTCAGGCTTGTGCTGTTAGTGGAGATAAAATACTAGGTGGAGGAGGATGAGACAAATTTGTCCGTGTTAAAAAGTCTCTGAAACCCTAAAAAAACATAATATATAAACAAACACAATAGTAAATGCACAATCTTGGACCAGACAGGATATCCCAGAACAGCGCTACGCCCTCTGTTGTCCTGGAGTGGTATTACTTTGCAACACTTCCTGGAGACGAAGAAGTCCGAAGGCAAAATGTGTGTCAGTGCGTGAGTGTCTCTCCCTTGTGGAGCTGATGGAGACGTATAAATGAGGCTACAGCCAATCATTTTAATGAGAAAGACTTTTCTATACCCTGAAACAGGAGCACCAAAACATTTTGTCCCCAAACACACACAAGGTATTCATTGACATTAGAGACTGCAGCTGGTGTTGAAAAAGATGTATGAACGAGTGCTTTTCACCTGCTTAGCTCCATCTGTTTGTGTCTTCCAAGCTCCCACAGTGGCCCCAAGTGGACTTGGTGGAGGAGGAGGAGACCACAATGAGCTGATTGTTACCTGGACGGTGAGTGAAAGAGTAGTTTTTAACTTTCACACCTTGTAAACAACAAAGTGATTACTCTAACACTGCTTTAGCAGTCCTTGAGTTTTACTCATCAAATTGCTAATGCTCTGACAATGTCTCCCTAACCATCCAGCCCATGGCCAGAGAGTACCAGAATGGTGATGGCTTTGGCTACATTTTGGCATTCAGAAAGAAAGGCATGTCCTTGTGGTCAGAGGTGGGAATTCCATATGTGGAGGCTTCTCGACATGTTTACTATAATGAAAGCCTGATGCCTTACACTCCCTTTGAAGTGAAGATCAAAGCTTTTAACCGCAGAGGAGAAGGTCCTTTCAGCCAGACTGTAGTGGTCCACTCTGCAGAAGAAGGTGAGAGATCGTGATGTTTAACTAATTCATCAAAAACATTCATCATTATCATTCTCAGAACTTTTGCCAGTAAACATGTTAGTAAAGAAATCATTGGAAATGGTCACAGATGCATATGTTGAAATTCTAAAATTAATGTGCTTGACTCAATCTTTAGTGTGTTTAGTCAATTAATATATAAAAGGCTACTGTCTGTTAATGTTTGCATTATAATATGACTTCTTTCATGTGATTATTTTGCCAAACTCGTCCCTTTTCGTCCATTAACAAAGAAACCCAGAGTGGCTCGTTCACCATGATGCGCAGCCAGTCATCAGCCTGTGTCACTGGAACCATGCTGAGTGGAATTATTACCACATTTTATTTTTAGATTTATAGAAACTTCCTAAGCATTCATCCATAATGAACACATTTTAGCATAAAGATTTCTGTAAGTGCTCTTGGCACCAGAATACCTTAGGCTGCAGCCTGATGATCGACGTTGTTGTCGTCTCATCTGATCTGTGGCCGCATGTCTCGGACACTCGCATGAAGAGAGACATGGAGCTGTCTCCCCTTTTGATTTAAAGTTTTTAAATTGCCAGATGCCGTTGCTTATTTGGAGTTTGCTGCATAATAAGCCCCTTTAGGGGTTTTGGCAATTTCTCCATCACGTTTGTTATCATTTACTTGTATATTTTGTATTGTTTTTCATTGTGAAAATAAATAAAAATCAAAAATCAACTGACCACTACCTGGTGGTGAGTTGGCTTTGATGGTGGAGGAGGATGCCGGTCAAACCCAAGCCCCCACAATGCGGCTCAAAAATTGAAGCAATCCCGGAAGTACCAAAAATTGCAGTTCCACCCTCATCCACTAGGGGCTGGTGTCAGAAATGAGCAAGTCCTCATTGACTCCCATGTTAAAAATACCAATTTCACAGCAGAAATAAACATGTTTACAGCCTGGTACCAGAACATGTTTTTGGTTTAAATGATCTAGTTTAAACTCATGACAACTCTGACGGGGGTGAATTTTTTGTCACTCTTCTGTTTAAGTGTATTAAAAGCCTAAAATTCTGTATAATTAATGAGCATCAGACCCACGTGACCACAGAGCTAGCTCCGGGGAAAGGCCTCAGTCTGAGCCGCAGCCTCGCCTGAAACCTGTTCGGTCATTTTCAGTCTCTCAACTTAGACCATTAGTTGTAGCATTTGTGTATTCTTTTTTGGATATTATTTGTGCAATTGTTGGACAAAATGACTTGCTGTGGCATTAATTGCACTAATAGAGCGTCCAAGGAGTCTCCACTTCATTTTTTTCAGTAAGTAAAATTATATTTATGTATTTTAGGTCACTGCCGAGCTGAGCTTAGATTTTAACATGTACTGTTTAACCATGAAATTTAAATGTAATAGGGTAAAACCCAGTGCATTTAACATAATGCTGCACTTTAGAAAATGGGTTGAAATATAACATGTTGGTGGAGCTGGGTTCCCACTATCTCTTGTGGAGCTCGGCTCATCTCTGTCTGATTGCGGCTTCTGTCTGCTGTGTGGGCTCCCAGCTTGTGGAGCTCTGGATGGAAACCGATGTTTTCCCCGCGGTTCTCCCCTCCCCGTAGCTCGGCGCATCTGTCTGATTGCGGCTCCTGTCTGCTGCGCGGGCTGCCGGCTTGTGGAGCTCTGAGATGGAAACCTTTTCACCCGGTTCTCCCCAGCGGAAGCTCTGCGCATCTCAGATCGCAGCGGCGCTTGTCTGCTGTGCGGCTGCCGGCTTGTGGAGCTCTCGGGAGACCTGTGTTCCACCCGGTTTTACCCAGCGGTCAGCCTGGCGTATCTGTGACTCCGGTTGTAGCTAGGTTGCTACCTCCGTTAGCTTAGCTCCCACCTCTTTGGGTTAGCTTCAGGTTAGCTTGTAGCTAGTTTGACCGGGTGTCGTCAGTTGATCCCAGCCTCACAGCCCCACCCTCAGCTCCACCTCTTTTCCCTTTTGTGGAATTGTCTGGGCTTGACGGAACCTGTGACACGGTCAAAATGGCGGTGGTGGCCACCTCCCATTTGTCTTCAAAAACGTGTTATTGGAGCCTATGGAAACCCAATGTCCAATATTTATATGTCGAAGGTCAAACCTGGCAGACCCAAATACACTGTAAGGGTCTGCTGGGAACGTGGGAAAGCTAAAGAAAGAGTCCCATTGGGTCTTTATGGCCTGTGGGACTCCCGAGTCAGCCGATGGGTACCAGCAGTTGGCACGGAACGCAGCTCAGGTGGTCACAATTCTCAGCGTGGGAGGAGTTTGTTGAAACCATGGAGAAAGACTTCCATACGAGTTTGAGGAGATTCTGGTCCACCATCCGGCATCTCAGGAAGGGGAAGCAGTGCTCTACCAACACTGCTTATAGTAGGGACAGTGTGCTGCTGACGTCGACTCAGATTGTTGTGGATCGGTGGGCAGAATACTTCAAAGACCTCCTCAATCCCACCGGCATGTCTTCCAATGAGGAAGCAAAGTCTGGGGACTTTGGGTTGGACTCTACGGTCTCTGGTGCCGAGGTCACCGAGTTGATCAAAACGTTCCTTGGTGCCAAGGCTCCAGGGGTGGAGGGGATCTGCCCAGAGTTCCTTAAGGCTCCAGATGTTGTAGGACTGAGTTAGGTCCCTATATACCGGTGTCAGAGCTTGGTCCGCATTGCCAGCAGTAAGTCGGGCACATTCATGGTGAAAATTGGACTCCGCCAAGGCTGCCATTTGTCACCGATTCTGTTCATTACTTTCATGGACAAGATTTCTTGGTGTACCCAAGGTGTTGAGAGGGTCCATTTTGGTGACCTGAGGATTGAGTTTCTGTTTTTGCAGATGATGTGGTCCTGTAGGCTTCATCAGAACGTGATCTCCGGTTTTTGCTGGAGGAGTTCGCAGCTGAGTGTAAACAGGCTGGGATGAGAATCAGCTCCTCTAAATCCAAGACAATTGTTTTGAGTCATAAAAGGGTAGAAGGCTTTCTCTAGGTGATGGATGAAGTCCTGCCTCAAATGGAGGAGTTTAAATATCTCACAAGTGCGGGAAAGATGGAGCACAAGATCCACAGGCAGGTTGGTGCTGCGTCTGCAGTGATGCAGACGTTGTACTCGTCTGTCGTGGTAAAGAGAGAGCTGACCCAGGATGCAAAGCTCTTGATTTACCGGTTGATCCACATTCCAATCCTTCCTATAGTTATGAGCTTTGGGTAGTGACCGAAAGCATGAGACTGAGTATACAAGCAGCCAAAATGAGTTTTCTCCGCAGGGTGACTGGGCTCTCCCTTAGAGATAGGTTGAGAAGCTCGGTCATTTGGGTGGGGGTTGGAGTAGATCTTCTGCTCCTTCATATCAAGAAGAAGAAGAAGAAGAAAATATCATTTCTATAGCGCCTCTTAAGATAAAAAATCACAAGATGCTTCACAGAAACAAAAAAATGTAAAAATATAAAAAAGAATTCAGAAAATGGTTAAAAATATATTTTAAATGAGCAAAAAATAGACAATTGTGATTAAAAATGAAAAGAGAGAGAGAGTGAATAGGAAATAGGGAAATCAGTGGATCCTGAGGAAGGTGGAATAGGTGGGGAGAGCAGAATAAAGAGAGAGAGGTGAAGAAGGTCATACAAAAGCCAGCTTGAACAAGTGAGTCTTCAGCTGCTTTTTAAAGGAGACCACTGAGTCCACTGATCTCAGGCTCAGGGGGAGAGAGGTCCAGAGTCTGGGGGCCACAGCAGCAAATGATCTGTCACCTTTGGTCTTTAGCCTGGTGTGCTGTGCAACTAGTAGGCTTTGATCGCTGGACCTCAGGGACCTGCTGGGGGTGTAGGGACTAAGAAGCTGGAGGAGAAGCGGGATGATGTGGGTGTGTTTGGAGGACTTGGTCAGAAGCCGAGCACAGGCGTTCTGAACCACCTGTAGACGGTTCAGGGAGGTTCTGCTCAGACACGTGAAAAGAGAGTTACAGTAGTCTAAGCGTGAGGAGATGAAGGTGTGGAGAACTGTCTCAAGTTCAGAGCGGGACAGAATGGGACTCAGCTTAGCAACGTTCCTGAGATGGAAGAAGGAAGAGCGAACAAGAGAACTGACATGAGAATCCAGGGTGAGAGCTGGGTCAAAGGTCACGCCAAGATTCCTGACGGAAGGTTTGGTGTGGGAAGCAAGCTGACCAAGAGAGTCTCTGACTTTGGGAACCAGCTTGTCTGGGGCACAGATGAGGATCTCAGTCTTATCTTCATTCAGCTGAAGAAAGCTCCCACCATCCAGGTTTTGATAGAGTCTAAGCAGGTGTGTAACAGCTGCAGCTTAGACATCTCATGGGGCTTAAAGGAGATTTACAGTTGGATGTCATCTGCATAAAGATGGTAGGAGATTCCTTTGAAGGAGCTCAGGATGTGCTGAAGAGGAAGCAGATAGAGGAGGAAGAGTAGAGGCCCCAGCACAGAACCCTGTGGGACACCATGGGTAAGAGAGGTGGTGGAGGACCTAAACTTGGAGACGGCCACAGAAAAGGAGCGCTCAGAAAGATAAGAGGAGAACCACTCCAGAGCAGATCCTGATAGGCCTACCCATTCTCTCAGCCTCTCCAGTAGCAGGTGATGGTCAACAGTGTCAAAGGCTGCAGTCAGGTCCAGCAGGACCAGAACAGAACAGTCCCCTGCATCACTGTGAGTCAGAAGGTCATTAAAGACCCTAAGAAGAGCTGTTTCAGTAGAATGAGCTCTACGAAAACCTGACTGGAAGCTATCATAGATGTTATGTTCATCAAGAGCAGCTGTGAGTTGTTTAGCCACAACCTTTTCCAAGATCTTGGAGATGAACGGAAGTTTAGAGATGGGTCTGAAGCTGCTGTGGAGAGAGGGGTCAAGACTCGGTTTTTTAAGAAGCGGGTGGATTACAGCGTTCGTAAAGTAAGCAGGGACCTGACCAGAGACCAGAGAAGCATTAATTATAGAGAGCACGCTGGGACCGATGGACTGAAAAATACTTTTAAACAAAGATGA